AAACTGCCTTCTAAAAGAAGTTATTGAAGGAAAGATAGAGGGGCGGTTAGAAGTAACAAGAGGACGAGGAAGAAGACATAAGAAGATGCTGGATGACCTTGGGGACAGAAGAGGATACTGTCATTTGAAGGAGAAAGCTCTAGATCGCATTAAGTGGAGGAATTGTTTTGGAAGAGACTGTGGACCTGTCGTCTGACAGATTACTAATGATGATGATGTAATTGTCACGTGTCCGGGGTACCGTGACAAATAATTAATGAATTACGGATTTGGGGAAGCGGTTGATTGAAGAATTACGCCAGGCTGAACTACAGACAATTATAACACTTCGTAACTGCGAACAATGATGACACTCTGACGTTCCTGTAACTACGCCACACTGCACATCTGTCGGTACTCCGCTTGCTTCTCTTCTGAACTTGTCTCTCTCCTGGTTATCTCTCTTCTGATCTGATCTGATCTTATCTGGTCGTAGTCAAAGTCAAAGTCACATACCTCCTGACGGTCAGTCAGTCAGAAAGTCTTGGTGTCGAGTCCCATCCGGGGCTCATCACCGGATATATGTGAGGACGGGTCTGTATTTTCTATATGCTGCTGGCTCTTGCCAGCGCAGTCTTTCTCGGGTCCGAGCCCCCTGATACTCGCTACCATATTTTACTGTCTCAGATTTGAGACTTCCCTTTCGTCTCCTCCTACGGCTCGCAGGGTCACGGTGGAGGTATTCGACCCTCCACACGGGGGTTATCTGGTCATATGGTGTCATCTCCCGGAGGTAGGTTCTTGGCGTATCGAAAGCAGACACCGCCCCAACAGTTCAATATTTAATTTCCGTGGTAACCTGCTACTTATGTAAGCGTTACCACGGAAACACCTCCAATTTTGCCGTAACTTATTTGTCTATCCGAGTGTTTCCATGGAAGTGCATGTCTACTAGTCCCACGGTTAACCGTAGTCGCGGGAACGTTGCTCGTTGCCCAGGAAATCAACCCTTATGTCACTCAACCGTCCCGGCTTTCTGGCGGCTCGCCACATTATGTTTCAATAATCTGGATTATTACTTAATCTGCATGACCTATCCCCCAGTTTATCCGGATTAGCGAGGGTTTACTGTAAATGGAACATATGCTGTACATGAGGGGTACGCGATAGTATGACTAAGCTCCGAGCGTCGTCTTGCTTAAAACTTCTCGCCACGGACAACATAGAAACCACAGCTCTTCCATAGCTATCGTCCAACTGTTGCATTTTTAATAATCTGCTACCTAGTAACGAGGCTGTTTTTTTACAGAGCCGTTGCCCAGAAACGGCCCTGATATATCCGCCCATCTAGCGGTCATTGCATAGTAACGGCTCTACACGCTACAATATATATGTCTTTCAACAAGTATGTACATACGTTTACCACTGAGTTAACATATGTACCAAAATTCCTGTTTAGAATTGTTTTCGACACTTCATTGCAGTGATAGTCACTTATTGCGTATACAGATGCAGTGGTACCAAATTTAACAGAGCTGTATGTCAGAAAGTAATTTATTTATGGGCCTAAATCGTTTAATAAGAACGTCGAAGAAGTTGTTTTAATGACGTCTGTGATCTACGTCATGTAGGCCTACAAAGTTTGTGGATGTTGAGCTATTTTTTTAAGCATTCTATAATAGTCAAACTGAGTTGCATGTGAAGTAAAGGTTATAGTCGTCGTATATACACTGAAATTAAATCCGCTCTATAAATTTTAGGGCACAGCCGCAATACCAAGTTTCATTAAAACCCGTCTAGTATTTATGGAGATATAGCTCCATCTGTTACAGGAATGAGGGAGCGTCATCTTCAGTTAGTGACGTAGACCGTTACGTCATCGTTTTTAGAAAGTCTTTTGTATTGCTAGTGGGGTGAGACTAAGTCCCTTGTACTGCGGCCACTTCTGGCCTACTGTACCAGCCCCAGATGATAGGTGAGGGTGATTGTGGAGCAATTGGTGGAATGAAGATTGGCAGGGGAAACCGAAGTACTAGGAGAAAACCTGCCCCTGCGCCACTTTGTCCACCACAAATCCCACTTGGCCAGACCCGGGATCGAACCCGGGCCGCCGCGGTGGGAAGCCAGCGACTAACCGCTTGAGCTATGGCGCGGCCCAGACATTCAGCTTAGTTCATGGGATTGCGTTCAGGACTCTTGAGAGTTCGAACCTCTTAGGATGGAATCCTGATCGAGTCACAGATTCGTTTCTTTCAATTTGGAGTGTGATACAGATCGTCATAATCATCATCATCATCATCATCATCATCATCTCATTCGCAGAACTTAAGTACCAGTTTTATGTACGTCAAATTTATCGAAATGTCCGGAAAAAATAGATTCTAAAGGGTTCTTATGGGTTTAAAACCCTGGGGATTACTGGGTTTTTTGGAATTTGTCAATCGTCCGGCATTATAGAGAATACACCATTTCGGAACCTAGATCTGTTTCCGTCCTCAGATCAGGGGAGTGGGGACTCGTACTCAGTTGGGTCCAGTGATTGAGATTGACCCTTTCTATTTTTTTCAGTTGACCTAATCCTTCCAGCAGCACTAGGCCCTGGGGTTTACTCAGCCTCTAACAGAAATGAGTACCAGGAATTAATTAAATAATTTTCCTGGGGAGTAAAGCGCTGCCGGCGAGTAAGGCTGACAACCTTACCGCCATCTTTGAGCCGATTGTCTAGATAATGTGGGACCCTTAACGTCTCACAACCCAATGGGCCTTCACGGCCTGGTACAGCGATAGCTTTACTTTTACTTTATTACCCAACCCAGTAGGTGTATCTCCCCCCTCTCCTAAGGATTGAAACAGATTCACTTTCCGAAATGCTTTTTTTTTCTCTTTAATACTGGACAATGGATAAAGTCGAAACACCCAGTAATCCGTTGTGATATCTTGAAAGTTTCTCACAGTCGCCATGTTTGTAACTGTTAACTGACAAGCAATCTTTGATGATTTATCTCGATTCGGTCATCACTTGCTTGTTGCAATGATTCATTAGATTTCGCCATAAAAACAAAAGATTTCATGTAGCTAACATTTTACTCTTTTCACGTTTTATACCGCCTCAGAAATTCGAAGTTACTTACATCGGCTGTGACTCGCAATTTACCGCGAAAATTTCTGCATTAATGACGGAGATCAAGTGTGAAAACTTTTTTTCAGAACTTAATTTCACTGGAAGACACCGCGGAATGGCCAACACAAGGTATTAAAATAAGGCAGGGTCACGAATTCGTTCCTAAAGGCACCGTTGTTGGGAAAGGTAGTTATGGGATCTTAAGGCACCGGAAATAGCTTGCTCGAAACGAATTGTTCTGCAACGAAATAGACGGCGTCCTGGCGTGTCCCCTTCCATTTCCAACCCAGGCGGAAACGAATTAAAGCACTCTGGAAGCTGTAATAAAATGAATGGAAGAGTTCAAGTGACTGGTAGGAAGATTGATTGAGTCATTGCTGGCTTGATGCAGTGTGACTGAGATCACATTACACTTTCCGAGCGAAGGTGGCGCCAAGTTTTCAAGACCTTGCGGAAACAGCACGAAATAATCCTCCGATAATCACCGGACGCCAAGGCGGTGACAGACTTGCTCCTCGCTCCCATTTCAACATGATTATAATTATATATCACTGCTGGAGCTGAGCCCTTCTTGAGAATCCGCCAATTGTGCAGCTACTCAAGAACGTCCCAGAATTTTTTGGAACCCGAAGATTCATTACCGTGTTCACCAGAGCCCTCCACTGGTCCTTATCCTGAGCCACATAAATCCAATCCATACCATCCCATTCTATATATCCCTAAGATCCATTTTACTATTGTCAATCCACCTACGTCTAGGTCTTCCTAGTGGTTTCTTTCCCACCAATATCCTTTATGCATACTTCTTCTCTTCCATTCATGCTACATACACTGTCCATCTCATCCTCCTTGACTTGGCTATTTGAATTATAATTGGAGAAGAGTACACGTTATGACGCTCCTCATTGTGCAGTTTTCTCCAACCTTCCGTCACTTCATCTCTCTTCGGTCCAAATATTCTCCTCAACACCCTGTTCTCAAACACCCTCAGTCTATGTTCCTCACTTAATGTCAGATACCAAGTTTCTTACCCATACAGAACCACAGGCAAAATTATAGTTTTGCATATTCTGATTTTTATGTTTTTGGACTGCAGACGAGAAGACAAAAGGTTCTGGACTGAATGGTAGCAGGCATTACCCGAGTTCAATCTCGTCTTAATTTCCTCTTGAATCAAGTTTTCATTTGTTATCGTCGTTCCCAAATATCTGAACTGTGCCACATTTTCAAAACCTCTGTTTCCTATCTTTATGTCACGATTTTGTCCTGCATTCTGGTGACAAGACAGCAACATATACTTAGTTTTCTCTCTGTTTACTTCTAGACCAACCTCTTTACTTGCGTCAGTTAATAAGTTCTGCACATGGACAATGTTACCTTTACCGCGCCTGTAATGTCGGTTCTGGCTCTTGCTTAACAATTCCTTTGCTGGCATCTGGCTTCTAATGCGGACGGAGGCCATGCGTGTCTTCTCATGTGTTCCATTAACCATTCACTATTTAATTTCGTACTCCTCTTTCAGCAGACTCTCCTTTACTTTTGCAGCACCTGAGAACACACGGGTTACCAATATTCTGATTTGCGTTGAAGTCTCTGTTGAGAACTCCGCCTTTCGAAGGGTTAAATGAACTGCAGGAATGTGTCCTGCTGAGTTAGACGTGTGGTATGGTAAAGGTAACGCTATCCCTGTAACAGGCCGTGGAGGCCCATAGGGTTGTGAGATGTCGAGGCTCCCACATCTCCTAGACGATCGCCTCACAGATGGTAGTGAGGTTCTCAGCCTTATACACTTACTTCCATTTACCCCCAGAAAGATTCTTGGTACTCATTTCTGTTAGACGCTGAGTCGAACCCGGGCTCATAGTACGGCCGGAAGGATTAAGTCAATTGAAAATTCCAGTGTGCTCGTTGGGAACCGAACCCGCGACCCTCCGGTTTGTAGCACAGTGCCTCAGCGTGCCCCGTGTTAGTGTTCCACGTGCGATTGCAAAATTGTTGATGGCTTAAACCATGTAGAGATTGACAAATGTTTGTAAAGTGCTTCGCCCCCTCACAGCCCGTGTGACTTGCTGAAACCACCCACAGTGTTTGTTTCTGTAAGCGGACAAGCTAACGGGAGTCTCAAAACTTAATTCACGATGGATCTGTGGTTCTGTGAAAATGCACGAAACGGGTCGACAGCTGTGAACGCTTCTTGGTCCTCGGCAAGATGGCATCTGCAGGAAGATGTCTGCCATGCGGATGTGCTGAATATCGTCACATCATTTTGTACTGGCTGTGTTGCTGTGGCCACAAACATATTCTTCCGCACCGGCAATCGCAGGTAAGATGCCACTTAATGATATTGTATGAATATATAAGGGATGCGACCACAGTGATCTTAATGATATTATATCTATTACATCAGACAGATGTTTAAACAATATACGTTCTGGTCGCTCGGTCGGTATAGTTCGCTTGCGGACTAAAATCACGGATTTTAAGTTCTATTAAATGTTTAAGACCTGGGAATTCTAATTATGTGTTATATTTCTTTCAGTCTTCATTTTGAATTAAGATGGATGGGGTTTTTAATGGCTTTTCCAGCCCATTCAGGGCCCAGGCCTCTTATTCAGTTCCGTAATCATTTTTCACAGACGGCAGGACTCACTGGACAAGTGATCACCCCGTCGCAAGGACGGACAGCACAAACACAGAATAAACGCACACACACGCCAAATATCCATGCGCTAAGTGGGATTTGAACCCAAGATCCCAGCGTCCGAGCGAGCGAAGGCAGTTCGTGCCTTAGACCGCGCGGCTACCATGACTGGCTTCCTAACTATACCATACCAGACCTAACTACTTCAGAGAAATGTTTAACAATATGGCCTTGAAGAGAGTTTAATGCGCAGGCGTACACATTTTTATTTACGTAATATATCAGCTGCGATACTACGCTACTTAAAACGTACATGCCTAACTTTAACTTGGGCTGTTGTTAACATGGTTGTGAATCAAGTTTTTTTCTTAGTTTTTCATTGCTGGTGGGGTGGGACTAAGTCCCTTGTACTGCGGTCACTTCTGGCCTATTGTACCAGCCCCAGATGAGGGTGATTGTGGAGCAATTGGTGGAATGAAGATTGGTAGGGGAAATCGAAATATTCGGAGAAAACCTGCCCCAGCGCCATTTTGTCCACCACAAATCCCACTTGACCAGACCTGGGATCGAACTCGGGCCGTCGCGGTGGAAAGCCAGCGACTAACCACTTGAGCTATGGCGCGGCCACGAATCATCAAGTTATATAAAATTATTGGAAATCTTTGAGTGATTGAGCAACTGGAGGCTTCTCAAGAAGAACTGAGTTGGAGTTAATGCATTTATCTCATGCTGCATATTACTCGTACTTTGAAGGTGGAGAGTCTGTCTTGGCGCCACGTTGCAGTATTTAGGATATGAGGTTCTCACAGGGGTGATTATGAAGAGACCTACTTTCTGGGATATAATGTCACACAGTCCGTCGAAAGTAAACCGACGTTTCGCCTGCATCTTCAGAGTCGAAGAATAAGCAAAAATCAACAACATGGAGAATTTAGCAGGCAGGAAATTTTTTGCTCGTTTCTTGCTTGGCTTATTCTTCGACCCTGAACATGGAGGCGACGTGATCCTCCGAAACGTAGGTTGACTCCCAACGGAGTACACGGCTTTACGACCCAGAAGGAAGGTCTCTTCATGCTGCGGCGTTGTTCATATAACAGATACGCTTTGTCGTGTCGACTCTACGCAATGTTCAATGCTGTCAGGAGGGAACCGAGTCGTTCTTGAGAAGCTACCAGTTGCCCAGCCACTCAATAAATTCCCAGCATTACATGGAACCTGAAGATTTATTGCCATGTTCACAACAGTCCGCCGCTGTTCGCTATCCTGAGCCAGATGAACACAGTCCTTAACCTACACCTCTTTCAGTGAGGTACATTTTAATATTATACTCCCACCTATATACAGGTCTCCCGAGTGATCTTGTTCCCTCAGGTTTTCCAACGAAAGTCCTATATTCCCCGCTCTTCGCTCTCATGCGTGCTACGTGCTCTGCCTGCCATATCATCGTCCTTGACTTTATTTTAATTGTATATGGCGATCTGTACATGTTATGAATCTCCTCATTACCGAGTTTTCTCAAATCTCCAGTCACTTCATGTCTCTGCGGTCCAAATATTCTCCTCAGCACCCTGTTTCAAAACACCCTTAGACTATGTAAAAGGTAAAAAGTAAAAGTTGTACGTGTGCTTAACTAATTAAGCACTGCACCTTGACGCATGGGGGGAGTGGATGTACAGATCCTCATTTTCTTGAACTCGGCGCTAGTTGGAGGGGAGTGGTCAGCTTCACGCCCCGGCCGCTATACCCCCGAGGAAAGAGTCCCCGGTGCCCATTGAAGATGAGGCCGAATGGGCTCCAAAGTCAGTCTGGACAACGTAGAGAAGAGATAATTCTTGACCCTACCGGAACTCGAAATCCTACCCCTCGATCATCCAGTCTATACCCAGTCGCTATCAGGGCTCATGCCCCTCAGTCTATGTACTTCCCTTAAAGTTATAAACACATGTACAGAATTATAGGCAAGATTATGGATTTGTGTGTTCTATTCTTTAAGGTTTTAGACAGCAGACCATAAGCTAATAGGTTCTGGACTGAGGGACGCATAGAGCATAGTGGTGGGAAAGCCAGTAGGAAAGAGACCACTAGGTAGACCTAAACGCAAGTGGGTGGAGAATATAAAGAAGGATCTTATAGAGGTAGAATGAGGTGGTATGGGCGAGATTGATCTGGCTGAAGATAGGGACCAGTGGCGGACTCTTGTGAACACGGCAATGAACCTTCGAGTTCCATAAAATGTTGGAAATTTTTGAGCAGCTGAGCCACTGGTAGGTTCTCAAGGACGACTGAGCTTCATGGAATCAGTCGTTATCCAGTGTGTTACCTATTAAAGTGTCACGTGGTTAAGCTGGTAATTATAGTGTCTGAAGAAATTTATGATATCAGCATATTCATTGCCAAAGAAAAGAAACTGCTTGTGTTGCATTTTCAATAAGTAACTGAAGACCAGAAATTAATTACTAATAAATGCGGTATGTGACTGTCCCTTCTTCAATGCCCTGTAAGCGTGAGATTTATGTGTGTCATTACGCAATTTCAGAAATGCGAGAAAAAGCAGGGGAAGCGAACAGCGCGAAATTTATACAAAATGTCGAGACTTGCCGTTGAATTTTGAACTGGAGTTACCCTAATTACTTATTTAAAACTTTGGTGTTGTATATTGAGGTACTGATATGGTAAGCAAGGTTAACCCTGGTACATAAGGGGCACTTCTGCTAGTTCGATGCTCTGAAGGTGAAATGAATGTTAATTGTCTCGCCGCACCATTGGCCTCAGCAGCAAATGGAAGCCAAGGTCAGCAACGTCACGTAAATTACAGAGAACGCATCTGAAAAAACGCACTTACACTCAGAATTGGCGTTGTGGCCTGTCTGTAGAGTAAACAGTGTTATATACACGCTAGGGATATTTTTATTATTGCTAGTGGGGTGGGACTAAGTCCCTTGTACTGCGGCCACTTCTGGCCTATTGTACCAGCCCCAGATGATAGATGAGGATGATTGTGGAACAATTGGTGGAATGAAGATCGGCAGGGGAAACCGAAGTACTCGGAGAAAACCTGCCCCAGCGCCACTTTGTCCACCACAAATCCCACTTCACCAGACCCGTGATCGAACCCGGGCCGCCGCGGTGGGAAGCCAGCGACTAACCGCTTGAGCTATGACGCAGCCCTACACGCTAGGGATTATTGTTATTGTTGGAGGGGGTGGGTTTCCCCATGCATCGCGACCAGTTTGATCTATTGTGCGTCCCCCTTTAATCTCCTACAAGCCTCTATACCCTACCGGTACTGGTGCTTACCATCAGTCCCTACTCAGCCAGCGAGGTCGGCCCCTACCGGCTCAGCGGTATCTCGATGCTTCCCCCATCTACCAGAGGCGTTAGAGACTACTGTTGGGCAGGAAATGTCCTTAATTTCGCTCAGTGGCCTCCTTAGGAGACATGAGGTTCTTTTACACGGGACCCACGACTTAAAGTCCCTCCCGGAGGACTTGTTCCCTGAATTTTTCCGCCCTTAAAAATTCGACGACCTCCGCCGGCCGGGTTTGAACCCGCGTACCTTGAGTCATGAGGTGGGAACGTTACTCTTAGACTACGGAGGCCGCTACACGCTAGGGATAGTTTAAGACTTAAATTGGCCGGCTTCCTTCAAGACGAAAAATGCACCCATGATAAGTAACCAAAAATGATTATCGACTGATGTTATTCAGTAAAATTGACTTGGTTACTTGCCTAGGCAGATTAATTCTGTTTGTTTACGGTCAGCCGGATTTCTATGTAAAAAATAGGTGAACAGATTCAAGATTCTGGGAACCAATTAAGTCTCCTCATGCGAGTCAGTAAATAAGTCACAAATGGAAGTAAAACAGCTGTAATGGATGTTATAGGTTTTCTATTTGTATCACTAGATAGCAGTACAGTCCAACTTCATAACCTTCATCACAGCCTCAGTAGCAGACGCGCATGCGCATGTTAAGAGGCTGGTTTCAGTAATCAAAATGGTTACCGTGTTTGAGGAGTGTAATACTGAAGAGCAGCGTTCTCTTGTGCGTTTCTTTGTGGGAAATAGGACTCAATGCAAAGGATGTTCATAAAGAAATGGTTCCTGTTTACGGTGGGAAGTGTCTGTCGCGTGAAGCGGTTCACAGTTGGGCGGCAAACGTTTCGCTGATAACGGAGATGTGGAAACGGAGGTGCGAAAATGGCTGAGACAGCACTCAAAAAAGACTTCTATACTGCGGGTTTAGACGCACTGTTAAAGCAATGGGACAAGAGTATCATTGTCGGTGGAGGGTATGTCGAGAAATAAACGTTTCTTCCAAGTTCGAGTATCACATGTTTTAGGCTTCATGTCTACTTGTGACCTATTTACTGACTCTCTCCCATATTTAAATGTACAAAGGAAGAGGTAGAGGTGGATAAAAGAGTTATATATTGATGTAGACTGAAACTAAAGTTATACTTTTTCTTGGTTAATTAAGTACCATGCCATGAAGACGTTGGAGGAGTGGAGGTATAGCTCCAAGTGCCTTTAAACCGGCACTAAATGGCGGTGAGTGGTCAGCTTCGTCAAAGTCAAAGTCAAAGTCATGTTACAACTGACGGTCAGTCAGTCTGTCTGTCTTGGTGTCGAGTCCCAGCTTGGGCTCATGACCAGATGTTTTCTTCTTTGTGAAAGTTGCTGT